TTTTTTTTTTTTCCCTCTCTCTCACACTCTGGAGAACCCAGATCGGGTTCTCCTAAAGAACCCAGGGTGGGTTCTGCTGGAGAACCCACCTTGGTTCTTCAGGAGAACCCAAGGTGGGTTCTGCGAGAAGAACCCGATCTGGGTTCTTCAAGAGAACTTGATCTGAGCCCAGATCGACTTCTCAAGGAGAACCCAGACTGGGTTCTCCAGTAGCTGGAGCAAAAAAAAAAAAAATTCAGATCTGATAGAACCAAATGGGATGAAATTGATGACTAGTGGTGCTTGAAATTGCCATATTAAATCAAATATACATGCGTAGCAAGTATACAATTTGAATTTGGTTTCGGGGAAGGAAAAAAATGCTGGGATTTGTTCTTGCTGTGTAATTTGTGAAATGTGAGGAGAGTAAATTTGTCATTTTACTTCTACCGATCATATGGGTGTGGATTTGAGTGTTGCCGATCAAATGTCCACATCATTGTCCTAAAAAAAATTATGTTCATGTCATTACCCTTCACCTACACCACGGTCCCAAGTAACGTGGGTCTTGGTGGAGATCATCCTGTACAAAATGTGTTTCCAACCACACATATACCTCTTGGTACTGTCGGTATGTGCCTACTATGCACGTGTTTGATTCTCATATATATGTCGAAGGATTAGAATCATTCATTAGTGTCAAAATCATCTTCAAGATAGAGATTGATTTGTAGGTAAATCTTCCTGTTTATTGTTTTTTGAAAAAAATACGATTAATTTTTTGAATAATTCATTATGATTCAGTGACATCAGATCTAAATTAAAGTCATTCACCTCTTATGAATTGGGTGTTTAAACTCTATAAAATCTCTTTTTTTCATTTTTCAAATTAATATGTAAATGATTATAATATGTTAAAAAAATAATTTTTTATACATTAAATCTCACTTTTTAACATTTAAAAATTTCATTTAATTTAAAATTAAAAATAATATTTACTTATAAGTAGATTTTATTATTAAAATTACCCATTATAGATTAATTAAATTATAATTTTCATCTTCCTATT